GTACGCAATCAAAGGTAGAATTCCACCTATAAAAGTAAGAAATAATAAATTTATAAAATAAATAGTTTTATTCTTCAGAAAAAGATTGATAATTATATGTATTATACACAGTATAAATAATAAATAATATGCAATATAAATAATAAATAATAATAATAATATATATAATAAATAATAAAAATATTATAACAAGCTTTTTACCTTGTAATAACAGGGGTTGCTGGACTATCTACAATTGATAAAGGCTGTATATCCTCAATAATAAAACGTAATATAGCAGCATCTAACATTTTCTGAAAAGTAACATTCCCAGAACCCCATCTTTCTAAAATCTGTTGTTTTTTTTTAATAGAATTTTCTAAGATATTTTCATTATGCCTTTTAGTTTTTATTAGTTCTTTTGCCTTTTTTATATCCTTTATTTTATATGGGTGTTTTGCCTATTAATTTAAAATATATATTTATATATTTTCGCATATTAATATTAACTAATAAAAAATCGTGTTACACATATCAAATATATATATATATATATATATATATATATATATATATATATATTATAAATTTATTATACACTCTGAGTTATAGGAAAATAGTGATAATAGTATAAATTTTATTAAAAAATGTATGTAATGGATATGTTTTAATTAATGAAAGAAAATAGAAAAAAATAAGAAACATATTTAAGAAAAAAAATTTTAAAAATTTTAAACTAAAAGAAAAAATTAAAGCTTGCAAAAGTTATTGTTGCATTGATATTTATTAAAGGAAGAAAATTCTGAGAAAGCGTAATGCAGGCAATTGAAAGTTATCTTTATATAAACACAAATGTAAATAAAAAAATACTTGATTAGATCACCATTGTTGATTCATGCAAAGATATATTTTTTATACCTACTGTTATTATTCTATATGGCATATTTGATTCAAAGTACAATGTTTCATAGTATTGTGTGGATTTCATGCAAGTCTAAAAATGTATTATAAAAAAATTTTTTTTAAATATTTTTATCTTTTTAATGTTCTTATTATTTATTTTTTATTATTTAATTTTATTATATATTTTATTATATATATATATATTTAGTATTGTAATTAATGTTTAGTTATTAATATTATGCTTTATTCTATACATATTTTGTTATTCTAAATCATAATTCTAATTTCAACACAAAAATAAAAAATATTATAATAATGTAAATATAAAATATAAGTATAAATATAATAATATAAATATTTCAGACATGTAAAGATATATTAATCTCTAAAAAAGACATACATATATACATTTTTCTATAAAATTAGTTTTATTAAATAAATAAATAAATAATACTTACATTTATGTGCTTCTTTAAATTTGCAGCAGAGGTTTTGTTTGCGTGAATAATTTTTCCTCCTGCACAAAATTTACAGGCAAAGGCAAAATTTTTTTCGTTGCTAAGATTTGGTCGAAATTGAAAAACTTTAGAATATGCCGGCCATGGAATTTCACATTCCATTTCCTTTGAAGATTGAGATGTACTTGCTTCTTCCATTATTTTTTATTTTTTACTATAATCTTCAGATTAAGACACAAATATCTTTTTGAGATTGAATATCAATACGTATGCCATGTGGAAAATGATTATAATGCCGGCAAACTAAGCAGGTTATACGAGCACGTGCTACACACGATGCGTTCAGTAAAACAATTGCTCGTTATCTTATCAACACTTGTTGATTTGGTTCTAAAAGTAAGAGCCAATCACGTTCGACTGTTATTCTGTGTTCCGAAATTCGTTGCCAGTATTGATGAACGCAGCTTTTGTTTATTTCTTTTTCTTTCACATGTGCCCAATGACGCGTTTACGTACATGTCATTCTGCATTCTACACACTTCTTTGAATAAAAATTACACAGTAAATTTGCAAAAAGTAGCGATAAAAGTAACTGTTAAATTCATTACTCGTTACTGAAAAATGTAACGAAATTACTTTTTTCGTTACAAACGAAATTTGTAACGTCGTTACCGTTACAGTTACCAAAAAAAGTAACTGTAACTGTAACGGTAACGACGTTACAAGTAACGCGTTACTTCCCAACCCTGTATATTTATTTATATAATTTATTAATAACCTCGATTCCTTATTGAGATTCAGAATATTAAACAGATTATTAGAAATTAGGCGGATAAATTAGAGAATTAGTCCATTTATTGTGTGTATTGAAGTATTTCTACTATCGATTGTCGATAATCTATATATAGAATAAATCAAGTCATCTTTTAATCAACATATGGACAAGACTAAAAAATCACTGAATTCGGATCATGAGACGACTTTTAGCCATCTTTTCGTTGACTTAACGATGTCAGTAATAGATGTCTGTGACAAAAAAATGTCCAGTTTTAGTAGTATTTTTAGACGACTTGATACTGTGTTAGATGTTATAATAGAAATTAATATAATTTTCGTAATAATTATATATATGTGTGTGTGTGTGTGCGTGTGTGTGTGTGTGTGCACGCGCGCGCGTACGTGTGCGTGTGTGTGTGTGTGCGTGTGCGTGTGCGTGTGTATGTATGTATATATATGTATATATGTATATATAATTTAAAATTAACAAAAATTAATTTTTATTTTATCTATATTAGAAACATGAAAAATATGTTTTGTTAACTATGGTTTTAAAAACGTTTCTTATTAATATCTTACGATTAAAAAATATTGGATACGTTTAAGAAATATATATAAAACGAATGTGTGCTACCTCGGGCATCATAGCATATCTTAAGTTATTTATTGACGACAGCTACGTGTCATAAAACGTTGTGTTACGTAGTCTTTTAACAATTGATAATTAAAGGTTAACTGTCCATTTGACATCACTGCTGTCTTGTTGCAATGCAGCGGAAATTAAATCAAACTTCAAATTTTGTTTCGAAAATATTATAGTTCTAAGAAGTGACGTAGAAGAGATGATATATTGAATCTAATAAATATTATTGTTATATGTATTATCTAATCGACATAAATAACTTCTTGTTAGTTAATGAAGAAAAAATTGTAGATGGATATGCATGTACTAATACTTGAATGTTTGTTTTCTTACAATACTTATTAGATATTCAACAATACTTATTAGATATTCATACTTATTAGATATTCAACAATATTGTGTATTTTTGTATTTTATATATTATATAAGATCTGCACACTTTCATAAATGTTAACACACAATTGTAATTTTTTTTTCAAGCTTTTTTTATATTATGTTTTCGAGCTTTTTCTTATTTCAAACTGTACATATAAATCTTTGTACGAATACATACATATATCATTGCTGTGGAGGGAATAAATTTTTATAAATTTATAAAATGTTTGCAAATACGTTTATTATTATGCATGAATTTAAAAAGAGACCATTATATAAATACTTGTTTAATTATACTTAGTTATTCTTAACATACAGAATTATTTTTAATTATTCTTAGCAGAATGTTTCTTTAATAATATAAAAATATTTTTAAAAATAAAAATGTTGTATATTAATTAATATATAAATGGACTGAATAAGTCACAAAAGGAGATCGGAGCATTACAAAATTATTTTCAATTATATTTTACGTAATTTAAGTGTTTATCACTTTTTTGGAAAAAGTAATTGATTTATAGCAGGAAAAAGAGAGAATTTGATTGAATGCAGTAATTCGCACTGGAGAATATAAAAATTATCGTATATAAAATTACAATAGTATAATTAAAATAATAATGTAATTAATATTATACGTTTTTTATATTATATTATATATTATATTAAGTATATATTATGTTAAGTTAATCTTAGGTAAAATTATATCATATACGTTATTATATAAGTTATTCGATGCAAATAACGATAATAATAACTCGTACAATTATTTTAGTTATTTATGCTATTGGAAATTTATATTTATTTATACTAGAACTACTAGATTTATACTAAAAACGCTACGCTATTGATTCAAACTGCATTACATGAATGTTACAGAAAACGTATCACTTTTTAAAATCTATTATTACTTTTCTTATAATCAGAATATCTTTTTATATAGTAAACGTGCCTCTTATGCTAAAGAGAAGATACTCAGAAATAAATTAATATAAAAAGTTTATAATAAAATTCATTAAACAATTATATATACATATAATTATTCTTTTTTGTCAAACAATTTTTAAAGATTTTAATTCTTTTTGAAATAACGCGAGTATCTCCGCGAGTGGAGAAAAATAAATTACAAATACGGAATGAAGCTAATAAGATGTCATGGCAACAGATTGATCATTCGAAGCCAGTTACTATTGTGATCGCTAGCGAAACACACTACCGCGTTACTTATCGCTTGATTCAAACTGCATCATATGAATATCACAAAAAATTGTGTACAAATAGTGGATTTTGAAAAGCGTACGTAGTAACACAATTGTATATAGTAACACAAATTGTATATAGTAACATCGTACGAACAAATCGTCATAATTATATATTTAATAAAATCAAAGATGTAGTAAATACTTAAGTGAATTCGAATACACGCTGCGTGTGCTTGAATATGACTGAAAATGTTACAAAATCTATAATTTTATAACTTCTTTAATTGTTTGTAATTTGATTGTGGTTATCTTTTTATCGATGTTTTTCTACTATAATATTAATGAAAACGAAAAGCCGATAATAATTATATTTTTATATTCGCGATACATTCCAATGAATATGTATCATTTTGCATTTGTCATTTGTTCTCCTACAACAAAAATAGAAACTATTTACTTACTAAGAATTCTCTAATTTAATCTTAAAATATATACTGTGATCGCGATCATAAAGAGAAATCTAAAAACATAATATTAAAAGATAATATTAAAAGATAACTTGCGATTCGTTAAAACTGAGTTTTAAGGAATTTAATGAAAATATATGTATATATGAATTTAATGAATATATATATATATATATATATATATATATATATATGAATTAATATCAATTCGATTAACACATCAGAATTAGTAGAGTGAGAAAAACAATTAATTCAGGATTCAACGGAAATCGATTGAGTGCAAATGTTTACGAAAAATGCAAATTATGTTCGGAACAATATTATGTGTTTTATTGAAAAGTTTGATATTGACAAAAGCAACTAATACGCCGAAGGTTGATATCACTTCGAACATCCTTCAAGAAGAAAATGTTTCCATGTATCCGGATATAAATTTCATGCAGGTAAAAGATATTTTCGCTTGATTAAGAAACAATTGAATGTTATTGCAGTAGTGTAACTAAAATGGTAATAAATTATATATTTTACCTATAATAGGATAAGATTAAAAAAAACAATTCAATATGAAAGAAAAAAGTATGTACAATGTTGTAAAAAAAAGATGGATAAAGTTTCCAAATTTTGTTTACAAATAGATATTATATAGTATATTAAATTAATTAAAACGGTATATTAAAATTTGACTGAATTATTTTCTCTCTCTCTCTCTCTCTCTCCATATACATATATAATTATTATTTCTAAAAATAACAATTTTGAAATTAATGAAATTTTCTGTTTACTATCTGCATTAAAATATACATACGATGGCGCTTCAACAAATTTTTATGTTATTTTTCTTCAATTTTTAAAATTTATTTATTTTCCTAGATATATATCATATTTATTGATATATAGTAAGCTTTATACTAATATAAATTTTATTTTATAAAATTAATTTAGAAAGTTAGCATCATTTCTTTGTGTTAAGGATAATTATATAACGAAACAGAGCTATTAAATATCGAGATAGAAACTCTGTCTAATAAAAAAATCATTTATCAAACATTCTTCAAGTTGTATCTTTTAACGCTGATATTTCGACAATATATTCAATAATAATCACTCGAATTTAGATTAATTTTCATACATATATCCATTTATATACAATTATATCCACATATTTTTATGGAGACATTATCGGTTTATACTATCGGTTCATATTATCATTTCCAGAATTTATTTGTATTAAAAATATAATGATATTCGAGAAAAAACTTGAAAAAGTTATAAATAAAAGAATTTATATAATTCTATGACTAATATTTAATAACTGTAAAGAAACAATATTTTTATTTTTGAAACCTTTTTATTTTTGATGTACAAAGATTAATAAAACTTGAGTAATCGGCAAATTTTTGAAAAGAATTTTGAATTACGTAAAATTGTTAAAATTGGTAAAATTGAAAAGAGTTAACTAACCTATCGTGAGAAAGAATCAAATTGTTCGAAATTGTTTTAATAATTGCGAAGAGCTACACTTTCGCTTGTACTACTTGCTGTACTAAAAGCTGTTATGATTCCTCATTGACTCTCGTTAACCTATTGATTGATTTTATTTTTGACATGAGTTATGTTAGATATACAAGATGCCTTCAAAAAATTAAAAACATAGATTTTACGATATGAATAAAACTACATCACATTCAGTTTATATTATTTAGGAATGGTATATACCGATATTATTAAGCAAACAAATGGCAATTTTTCGTTTAATTTTATAATTTATATAATTTAACACAATAAAAACAACCTTCAACGATATAATATTCACTTAATTCTTTTCGTATGTTATACTTTATGAAGGATATTTCAATGTCCGAGAAAAGTGATCATCATATACTAAATTTCAAATCTGACCGGAGTTATTCTGATAGTATGACTGTGAGAAATGAGCTAGAAGTCGATGAGGTTCCACTTGCAAATATTTCTATCATCCCAAAATCTATCGGTAAGTTGCAAAAAAATGAATAAAACATTAATAACAAAATCTATGACGAAAAAGTGTAAATATAATTTAAATTCAAGAAAGAATGGATATCAAAAATATTTTCCAGTAGTAAGAAGAATATAAATTCTATTCTGTCCAAAAAAGAAATAAAAAAGCACAATATATATATATATATATATATATATATATATATATAAATTAATAAAATTGACTTTACTTTAAATTATGACAATTTTTATGTATACTGTTTTATATATATATATATATATATATATATATATATATATAAAACAGTATACATAAAAATTGTCATAATTTAAAGTAAAGTCAATTTTATTAATTTGATACTCCGTTTTAAAGCAGTCGCAAATTATATCTCTGATTTCTTAAACTATAGGAATTTATCGAAAAATACTTGTCATTTTATTAATTGTTATTTATTCGTTTTTGCCATGAATTAACGATTACTTTTCTAAATTTTAAATGACACAAAAAATTCTTATATTATTTTTTAAAGATTAATATTGTGCTAATTTCCGTATTTTGTAGTTTATATTTATTTCTTTGTAGTTTACATTTATTCCTTTATTTTCACATTATATTGTTTTTTCTGAGATAATTCACTTAATCTTATATATAATTATGTTAATACGTACGCTCTTAAAATCTCTAGAAAGCAATCCAACATCTCTCAGAGCATTTGTACAATTCGACAGTCAATTTACAGAAAAAATGAACGACATTTTTGTGACATTGAGGTAAGGAATCTAAATTCCCAATTTGTATTCTTTTATTTTTCTCTCTTTTTCTTAAATTCAACGACATATAAATATATCAAAATTTTAATGCTGTTATAATTTTGATAAATGTAAACTGACTAAAATTTTATGTTTTTACAGATGGAACCAACCTGAATTTACCGATGAAATAATACAGGGATACACAATGCAATGTTTTTTCATCGAGGACTTTAAAAAGATTCAAATCTGCGATGATAAAAATATCACAACTACAAAATTGGAGCACACGGTGCACAATCTAACATCTAACACAACATATTATTTTCGAGTACGTGCGCATACTAAAGTTGTTGTTGGTCCTTATACGGATTTAATCAATGTGTCGACTACACATGAAAATCCAATACCTAAATTATTAGTCACATCAGAAGAAGGTATCCAGATTTTGGACATGGATTTAAACATTACTAATTTCGTAATGCCAAAGTACGTACATTGATAAAAAACAATAGTTATAATGATCATAAATTATTTTCAACACTAGCTATAAAGTGAATGTTATTATTATTATGCACAGGTTTATTATTATTAACATTATAGCAGTAATAACTATAAAATTAGAAATTTCAACTATAACTTTTTACTATACAATTATAATTGGTTCCTTTTTTTCAGATACGTACATAATATCGCTTATTCGATACAAGAACATAGAATTTATTGGCTATCAGACACTAACCTAATGACATTGAAGATTAATGAAAATTATATCACAAAAATAGCTAGCTATGATAATTATTTATATAATCTCTGCATTGACTGGGTAGCAAGAAATCTATATTTCACATATAATAATGACTCAGACTACCCTTTAATAGTAATAGTACTCGTAAAGTTCGACTTAACAATGTGGGAAAATGGCATAATTAAATTTGATGAAATTTACAAAACAAAAAATGGTATTCGCTATTTAAATGTATTACCGTCTATGGGGTACGTTTACTACCGTTTACCTGAAAAAATAATTTTCCATTAAAGATTTATGCATATTTGTAATTTTTTAATAATTTTACGTGGTTTTATAATTAAGATTATAAGTAAAAAAAATAATAAGTTATAATATAATTACAAGAATTTCGAATTTTCACTACAAACAAATTTCTGTTTTCTGTTAAAATAATGTTTTATAATGAAAGTAAAAATGAGAGTAAAATTATGACATCTTTTTTAGAATTTTGTATTACGTATCATACAATTGGATGAATTCAGAAGGTGATATAATAAAATATCATCTCGATAAAAAAATTGAGCAAATTGAGCAAATTGTTCGAATAAGTGTATCCTCTTGCCTATTACATTATATAGAGTCTGTTCAGGATATGATAGTTGATAACATGAATAATGAGGAGCCGTTAATTTACTGGTTAAGTAGAGATCGCATATTTGTAACAGACACTATCGTTTTTATGTGCAATGAGATTTTACACAAGAGAGACATAAGTGATAACATTCTATTCGAAACTATGACGATTGCCAAAACAAACATTTACATTTTAGCAAGAGATTATTCGAATGAATTTTCTTTCTATGTTTTGAAAAAGAAATATGTAAGTCTCAAGAGCGTAAATGCAGCCGAATATGTTGAAAAGATAATAATAAGCTTGAGTGGAAATAAGCAATTTGATAAAATTCACGCTTTTGATCAAGCTTTACAATCATATCCTCCAATGAGATGCCTGACACCTGACGAAAAAGTTTATAATTTTGAGAATGTGAATGCAACAACAAACAGCATCAGTGTGAATCTTCCGGAGCCGGTTGTAAAGAATGGATGCAAAAAATATAATTTACCAACTACTATATATACTATCTCCGTAAGCTGTTTAGACAACAATCTCAACAAGTCGGAGAAATTCAATGTGCTACGATATGTGACGTTCGAGCGATATTACGAGATTCAGAACTTAACACCATGTACAGAGTACAAGTTGAAGTTTACTTTAAGCAATTTTTACTTTGATGAATTATCAATAAATCCATTTGATTCGAATGTGATATCAATAAAAACTAATTCCGGTAAGTTTGATGCACCAGAAAATATAAGTGTTCTAGCTTTGACGCCTACTACTATAGCAGTAGTTCATTGGATGCCACTCAAGAAAGTGAACTGCGTGGCCGCGACCACGAAGTGCATTAGAAGTCAGTTACATTAGTGAACGGTACGCAACACAAGAGCAAACAATTTATCAATGTGCCGAAACGTACGGCAGGCGGCAGATTTTTCACAAAGATTAACTTGTCGCTATTAGTACAAGATTACTTGATATATATGTGCGTATCCAAATAATTTCATTTCTACAACGAGAGTTTAAGCAACTTCGTTCACATATATTCAGAACTAAATAATTACTTTGAGCGAGATCAATAGCATGAACATTCCGTGGATCTCCAACATTAATCTGATGATGTTTTGTACACTAGAGTACAAAGATATTGTAGCAGAAAAGTGGCAAACAATGAATTATATTAAAATGAATTATAACAGTGAAGTAATATACAATGTCAAAAATTTACAATCGGCAATTTTATACAAGTTTCGCTTGATATTGAAATACCTCAAATACGAGGAAAATTTTATATGGCCGGCTGGTGAAAGATTTACTCTTCCAAAACGTGGTAGCAAACGTGATAAGTAAATGAAAATACCTATACAGCACAATAAGATTGCAGATATATTGAAGAATAATTTCATTGAATCATTGCAATATTGCAAATCATTAGGATGGTGGGGGACTTAATTTTCGCGGGGTCGGTTTTCCCCCTAGAAAATAAAGTTTTTATTACGGACATTTTTTCGTACAATGCGTATTTCTTGAGATATTTCGATGTCTGAAAATAAAAAAACTCACCTTGTATTTATTTACATGTAAAAAATGCATAAAAATGCATAGAAAAATATAATAGATATAATAATATCTATTCTTAATAAAAACATATATTATCTTTGAAGATTAATATCGTATTCGTAAATGAAGTGAGAATATATTTGTAATATTGCAATATTGTTATAAAGTAGTTGTAATATTCTGTGCTGCATAGATATTATATTCTAATTTTTTCAAATATGAATATACCTAAAATTAAAAAAATTATATTTTGTATTAAAGTTATAAGTAAAATTAAATTTGTAAAAACATACACAGACGAAGATATTAAAATTATATTTTTGCTTAATATAGGTATTTCGAGCACTTCTGGAATAATAGCGAAAAAATATTACTTATTATTCATGTTAAGTTTTATCGTTATAGTTACTATAATCTTCATCTGCTACTTTTATTATTGTAAGTATATTTGATTTAGGTATATTTGATTTAGGACTTGAATTGTAGATTATACATATATATCTGATATAATATCTAAAACTTTACTAAAAATAGTAATTTACTTATATAAAACTAAACAAATAAATTTACTAAAAAACAGTGGATTTTATAATACATATTATTACATAATTAATTCGAAATTTTACAACAGTATATCGTCAAAGCAGAGGTAATAATGAACAATTTTTGTCTTCAACAACGGCCGATGTAGAATTGGCGATTCTACATGAAATACCTTGCCGAAACCCTCAATTCAATATGATTTACAGTCCTATGTTACATTATAACCTGGATGAATGTGCGATAACTAAAATCGCACAAAATCAAATTACACTCACAAAACATCTTGGTAGCGGCGCATTCGGAATGGTAAAAATTAATTTTTTCAAGCAATATTTCAAACTAATTTTTGGATTAACAAAACAGATACGTATTTTTTAATAAAGATATATATTACATAAATTTTTTTAATAGATTATATGTGATATAAAATTTACATGAGACAACAAGCATGCACTTTATTATATATTTTTCATTGAATTATTTAATATAAAATAAAATATATTACTACTTGACATTAAACTATACATTTTCTAATAAAGTACGCATGTAAATTTGAGTGAAATATTTCACAGGTGTATCAAGGAAAGGTAAAGGATTTAGAAAAATCGGGCACAGAAACGTCCGTTGCAATAAAAACACTTCGAAAAGATGCTACTTCCCATGAGAAAGAGAAATTCTTAAAGGAAGCCAAGCTTATGAATCATTTTCAACACAAACATATATTAAGATTATTGGCCGTTTGTTTAGATGGAGATTCTCCGTTATTAGTGTTGGAATTGATGGAAACTGGAGATCTGTTAAAATATTTGAGAGAATGTCGAAATTTGCAAGCGTCAGATTCGCTTGCTCTACGTTTGCAAGATTTGCTCGCCATGTGCGAAGATGTTGCGCGAGGTTGTTGCTACTTGGAAGAGTTGCGTTTCATACATAGAGATCTAGCATGTCGCAATTGTTTAGTATCTTCGAGGAATCGAGAGAATCGTGTCATCAAAATTGGAGACTTTGGACTAGCTAGAGATATCTACAAGGATGATTATTATCACGTGGTATATACAATTATGGAAAAAAGTTAATAATTAAGAAAATGAATTCTTCTAAAAATACTTTCTATTTTTTTATCATAATAGTATCGTGCATTGTTTTTTTAAGTAATATAGAATATAAGTAGTTTTTATTTATATATAGCAAGAGATAAATTAACGTTTTTGATTTTGCACACATTCTAGAAATGAACAACTTAAATCTCAGAAAATTAAATTTTTGTTTAAATCATGTTTTAGAAAGGAGAAGGTTTGCTTCCTATTCGCTGGATGGCACCTGAATCTTTGATAATGGGAATATTTACTTCTCAAAGCGATGTTTGGTCATTTGGAATATTAATGTGGGAAATTACGTCGTTGGGTGAGCAACCTTATAGTGCCAAGGCTAATGAAGAAGTGATAAATTATGTACGTGCTGGAGGCAGGTTGCCGAAGACTCTTAACTGTCCGTCACCATTGTATCAGTTGATGCTACGTTGCTGGAGTGCAGCGAATGTTAGACCAAATTTCAAATTTTGTCTGGAAAATATTATAGCATTAAGAAAGAACATGGAAGATGCCTTACTGAGTCCAGTCGATACTATTTAGCTGATATAATTAAATTAATGTTTATCTTATTTTCCAAAGGATTCAATAAATCTTAATATAGAAAAAATATTTCTAAAACATTTCTAAATTGATTTTGTTATTTTCAAGTTTAATCTTAATATTAGATTTATCAATAAATATAGAAATTATTTAATCTTATCTTTTATAAAATTTTGATTATTAAAAAATATCACTTCCGTTTTTATAATTGTAAACAACATAATATAATGATATATTTAATTTGTGTTTTTGAGTAATAGAAGCGAAACCTAATAATTGCGATTATATATATATATATATATATATATATATATATATATATGTATATGTATATATATATATGTATAAACAATATTTTTTTCAACATGGAAATATAATTAATTTTCGACATTATATATAACCAATAATTACAAACTGATTATAAAATTTATGAGTGAAAGAGGAAACGCGAATAATATCCTCTATAATTAGTTGTGAATATATAAATATAATAATATAATTATTTTGAATTTATAAGTTATCATGCATGATTTTTTACATCATTCGGAATAAGTACATATTTATATTTTATCTTTATATTTAATGATTTACTATATATTTAAATTATATTATTGATGATTAAAAAAGTATGCAATTGTATAAATGAACTATACTTATTGCTCTATCTCCACTTATTATAAAGTTGATAATGTATAATATTTGCACACAATTACGGTCTATCATTTCGAAAGAGCATCAAATACTGACAACGTTTTATAGATATGTATGATATTATGTGTATTATAAATAATATTAAATAACATATGAGGTTATATGTAAACCATTTCATAATCGATACACAGATACAACGATGCAGTAATCTGGCGAGCACATTTTCTCGAATAATTCTAATCTTTATACTACAGTATACTAATAATCATAAATCCACAAGTTATAAATCTTTAGTTAAAATAAAGATGGATAGAATTATTGTGCCGAAATCACAAATATTTTAACATTTTAAATAATACTACATATTAAATGAAATAGGAGTATCGCTCATCAAAGCGCTTTATTGGCTGTTATTTGTCAATTTTTAATAATTTTTAATTATACAATTATGTAACACATTGCACATGACCAAGCGCTAAATCATCGAGTCGAAATTGGAAATCGTTCTTGTGAGTACTGTTGTGGAAATCCAGGTTTGTTTATCAATGAAAAAGTTTGACTAGATTAAGCTTAAGATTAAGCTGCATTCAAAAAATATTGGCACATATATGGAAAATGAATTCTACATATATTCTTCTATATTCTAATATATTTCATTTTTTCATAATACGATATTAACATTGCACTTTTAATCTTATAATGTCTATAATAATTACAATGTGTACAATATTACAATATCCTCATAGAAAAAAAGTTAAAAAATTATTTATGTATGATTTTAAAATATGTATATTATATATCCTAAATTTTTTTTGTATGAACGCAGCTTTACTTTTGTAATTACACTCAATTATCATACCAATATGAGGATTACATTTCTCAGTCGAAAGAAAATATATATATATGGTTACGGTGATTGCGTTACAATCATACCAATAGTATGTTTTTTTTTTTTTTATTTAATTTTTTATTTAATTTTTTTTTATTTAATTTTTTTCTTTATTTCCAGTTTAATCTTCACGATGTTAAGTCTATCCTGTATATAACAGATATCGTCTATCCTGTATATAACAGATATCGTCAGAGAGAAGACTGAGATATGTCATGGCCTGCTTTTAGGTGATCCCTGAAAGCGATACTCCTTCTATGGACATTGAAAACGTGGACATGAACTACAAAGCCAATGTCCATGAATTTTCTTAGAGAGTAATATATAATGTGCACAATTTCTGGTTTTGTTCATTGCTATGTGCACGAAATATCGGTAGCACCAGTGCTGTATATAATTAATGTTTATGTATAATGTTTATGCTTAATACCTTATATAATACAATGTACTAAATTAAAATTAAATATAATTACAAAATAGTATTACTATTAATAAATAGGTTGTATGCATATTGTCTTTTAGTTTCTAATTATTTCCAATCACTATACATTTCTATCCAATATATTCTCTTCTTCGAGTTCTTGAATTATTATGATTTATTGTATTCCTTTGTGTCAACATCATAAAGATTACCACCACTTGTCATGCTTATTCCTTCCTATGGAGTCCATTGGAATACGTTCGTTCTCAGGTATAGATATTCAAATAACTGTAGTTGCTTTTTTCTATTTTCTCGATTATTGTCTCTTTTTCTTTCATTTTATTCAAAAATATTAAGATAATATAACATATATTTATACAATTTTGGTACTTCTATTAGTCCGACTCTTCCCCTTCGATTTGTCTGGCATGTCTAACCCTATCGGTAATTACGGCCGATATTCATAATTCACTCTTATATTTAAGATCGTTTTAAGTAAGTTGGAATATAACTATTTTACTAACTAAACGGAATCTTTAAAAGCAATCTAAGATGATACTTAAAATGATGTTAAATATAAGAATAATCCATTTGAATATCGGCGTACATTACCGCCGGCATAGATCTCAGGTTCACGAGAATACTCAAACCTCTCCTGGCAAATGCCTTTATTAAGATCAGAGAAACATCGAGAAGGAACATTTTTTTAATTTCTTTTTTATTTTATTTTTATTATATTTTATTTATTATATTTTAATACAGAGTTTTCAAACGTAAAATATAATACACATGAAATATACACTCGTCAACAAAATTGTCACATAGGTAATTTCATGTCAAATTTTCGCATAACTTCAAATAAATATAACTCAAAAAAAGTCGTATTTGAAATTTTTTTTTCATTCTCAAGCTTAAAGCCTCTATTTTGAAACTCATTTGTCAGATTTAAAATTTATCCCCCCTTCTCGTCATCTCCCCAAAAGTAAGGATGTCACCAAAAAATTGCGTACTTTGACGCATTCCACGGGGTGGAATAAATTTTTTTCTCAAATTTCATGATGATTATCGTAAAATATGGACTTTTGTGAATTAAAGAAAAGTGTGAATTAAAAAAAAAATTTTAAGTGGTCCATTGCACGTCGGGAACTTCACTGTAGAAGAAAACGAATCCTGGAACTATTCCCGATAGCAATGTTTTCAATAATAAATCTACGTCAATTATCCCTCGTCATTATCTTCAATTCATGAAATTGATATGCACAGAAAACATGTTCTTCCATTATTAAGAAATATATTTCCTTATTGAAAATTATATGGATATAACGACTTTTTTTTATTGAAATGTGATTACGATTATATTTATAAATAATAAAATACATGTATTATTGGAGTTTGTGTTAAATGTGCGAACACATATAATTTGGAGTACCGTTTGCGCGAGCGAAACGAATCGAATCCGTTATCAGCAAGATATAAAAAATTTCAATTCGAACAGTGTGCAAAATAAAATTAATCAAATAATTTTAAACAATTAATTCTGGATTAATTCTCTAGATTTTTATTCTTATAACATTTGAATTAATAATTTCTTTTCTCAATAAATAGAAAGGTCATAGGCGATAGAGAGCATGTAAATAATTAGATAATCAAGTTTAAAATAGAATAATCATAATTTAATAAAACAAATTAAGTACGGTATAAATAGCTGAGAAATGTAATATGATTAAACATACAAAAATTAAAGATAAGAATATACATAAGGTACGAACGTTTCTGGCTCTCGCTTTGAGCCTTCTTCAGCGCAATAATAATAACCAACAGAAATTAATATAAAAACTAATAAATCATGAATATAATAAGGTATTAAGTAACATATAAATAATGATAAAATCGCAATCGGCGCAACGTTAATAGACGCTTATCGGAGTAATGGATCTTCATGGTAAAAAAATAGAAACCTTATTGTGCAAGTATAATTGGTGGTGAACAGAAACTCGACAACAGTACCAAATGCAGCCTGAAATTGGCGTGATCCGGTATTTTAAACAATTCATATAATATACTGTGTGACAATATGAATACTTACAAAGAGACTGTTCAACGATAATACGAAAGATGGAGAGAAACAATAAGGTTCAACATGAGAAACAGTTACTGTTAGAAATGCCGATGAGAAGGCTGGTATATATACCCGAACATGACATTCAAATTTTCGGTAGCTTGTTTATAATATCATGATATAAAGACGGTAAATTTTCTGTGTCTGTCTGTAAATTTAAACCATTCTTTTGTCTCTTGATGTAAAGCATTTCAGAAATTAATCTTCTATTGAAAAAAGGAGCTTCATCCAGAATTTTAACGTCGTCCCAACAAAAATCATGACCGTATTGCAGCCTATGATTTGTAACGACAGAGCGAGTAGTATAATTTCTATTAAGTTGTGATCTATGCTCCGATATTCTCGTCTTTAGCATTCTTGAAGTTTGGCCAATATATGAAGCGTCACAATCCGAGCAATTAATTTTATAAACTACATTGGTTTTTTGGTTAGAGGGAATGTAGTCTTTATGTACTTTAATGAACTTGTTTAATTTATTTAGGCTGGTATAGGAAAGTTTGATGTCCAAGTTCTTTGTGACGCTTCTAAACCGCTCAGTGAAGTTTGGCAAGTATGGGACCGTGAAAAACGTGGAAGAGTCTCTCAACGTCCCAAGATCACCGCGATCACCGTGATCACCGCGACTCATGAACAAAAATCTAAGTCGTTGGCTTATGACTTCAAATATGAAGCTCAAGGGATAACAATTATCTAAAAGGATTTTGACAATAAGGTCAAGATTCTTATGGTGAAAACTTGGATGCGACAACGAGAAAACCCTGTCCACGAGACCGATTATGTGCCTTTCTTTTGGCAGAGTGGATGTTGAGAGTGATAATTTAAATATCTGCCCGAAAATGTGGATTTTTGGAACCAGTCAAATATTAAAACGTTATTTTCAACTATTATGGTTACGTCTAAAAAATTAATTTTTCTGTCAACCTCTAATTCAAAAGTAAATTGTAATCTGTCATGAAAGGAGTTAAAAATAGAAAGAGTCGAGTCGATGGAGTCAGAAGGGACCGTCATTAGAATATCGTCAACGTATCTAAAATATAACCGGGGGGTGAATCTTAAAATATTCAAAGCTTTCTCTTCTAAGTCCTGTAGCACTATGTCAGCAATAATCGGCGATAAGGGAGATCCCATAGGAGTACCGAAAGTTTGCTTATAAATAATGTTGTTAAAAGTAAAAAACGTAGAGTTTAAAACAAATCTGACTGCACTCAAGAACTCGGATTCAGGCAAACCACAAACATCACGTATAAAACTCCATCTGCTAGAAACGCTAGAAAGAGCCAAATCCGTGGGAATGTTCGTAAACAGGGAAATTGCATCCAACGAGATCAATAAAGAGTCGTCATCCAAGTGAACATCGGCCAAATTCTGCACCAAATCGAAACTGTTATTTATATGACTAGAGGCAGTAGGAAAGTTCTTGATCATGATCTTGTGTAAAAATAAGGCAAGAGAATAAAGAGGGCTATTGATGGAAGAGACAATGAGTCTGAAAAGAAAGTTGATCTTATGTATTTTAGGCAAACCATAAGCTCTAGGTAAGGTGCCATCGGTAAATAGGAGAGATTTATAGGTAGTATTAGAGATGTAACCATGGTTTTTCCATCTGGATAGTAGCTCCTTCAGGTTGGAAATTAGTTTTTTAGTAGGATCTTTGTTGATTATTGTATAAGTGTTCTCATCCCTAAGTAAATCACCAACTTTGTTCAAATAGTCGAATTTATCAAGAGCCACCGTGACATTACCCTTATCAGCCCGTGTGAGGATGAGATCTTTGTTGTTCTGGAGAAAATTTTTAGTAGTCAGGTAAAGCCGTGTCAACCAATCATTATGTGAATTCCTAGGAAACGAATAAGACGGAATATTTTTAATGATGGATTTTAATTTATCTCTGATGGGAATTCTAGATGCAGGAGAAAGCTTCCGGAGATTGCATTCAATGTGTTTGATAAATTCGATCGTTAGGATGGGTGTATTGATGGGAGGTAAGCTAAAATTCTCACCCAATTGCAAAAAACATTGGATTTCAGGAGGGAAGTTCACCATGGATAGATTGACAAACCATTTCTCATTGATCACATTCAGATTAGTAAATGAGTTAGAATATGTGTTAGGATCAATCAGAACTTCAAAAATGTTATTAGATGGTAACTCATTTTTATCAAACGACCATTTGAAACGCCGTTGGGGAACAAAATTATTATTCGCTGTTGAAGGATATTGATAACAATAATAGTGGATCGGTTTAGGACTGTTTATGTTTCGTTGTTTAGATAGTAGAAAATTAAATTTTTTGTTTAATCTGTGACTCTCCTTTAAATAGAAACAATATAAAGGACGGCTTTGCCTGTTGAAAAAACTGTTACAGACAGACACAGGTAAATTCCTATAGATCTCGGTAGACAGATGGAACATTCTTTCATAACTTCTTCTAATAAAATAATAAATATCTCTAAGTTCTATGCGTATCAGTCTGTTGTAAAAAGTCCGTAAAGTATTATTAAATAGAAGATTTGATCTATAATTATAATAAGAGAATTTAAAATTTGACAATAAATGGTCTATGTGTGAAGGAAAAATGTTGTGCGCAATACATCGTCTCAAAAAATTAACCTTAATTCTGTTGGATATAATAGATTTACGAAGTTTAATCCATGATTTAAGTAGTTTAGTGGTTACATGGTTATAATTTACATTAATATAAGAGAAAAACGAATCTGATCTATAATAACGCATATTTTCAGCCGGCGTAATTTAAACAAATATTGAGGAAAGCTCTCTTAAATTTTAACAATAAATAGAAAGGTCATAGGCGATAGAGAGCATGTAAATAATTAGATAATCAAGTTTAAAATAGAATAATCATAATTTAATAAAACAAATTAAGTACGGTATAAATAGCTGAGAAATGTAATATGATTAAACATACAAAAATTAAAGATAAGAATATACATAAGGTACGAACGTTTCTGGCTCTCGCTTTGAGCCTTCTTCAGCGCAATAATAATAACCAACAGAAATTAATATAAAAACTAATAAATCATGAATATAATAAGATATTAAGTAACATATAAATAATGATAAAATCGCAATCGGCGCAACGTTAATAGACGCTTATCGGAGTAATGGATCTTCATGGTAAAAAAATAGAAACCTTATTGTGCAAGTATAATTGGTGGTGAACAGAAACTCGACAACAGTACCAAATGCAGCCTGAAATTGGCGTGATCCGGTATTTTAAACAATTCATATAATATAGTGTGTGACAATGTGAATGCGATATTATAAACAAGCTACCGAAAATTTGAATGTCATGTTCGGGTATATATACCAGCCTTCTCATCGGCATTTCTAACAGTAACTGTTTCTCATGTTGAACCTTATTGTTTCTCTCCATCTTTCGTATTATCGTTGAACAGTCTCTTTTTGTAAGTATTCATATTGTCACACAGTATATTATATGAATTGTTTAAAATACCGGATCACGCCAATTTCAGGCTGCATTTGGTACTGTTGTCGAGTTTCTGTTCACCACCAATTATACTTGCACAATAAGGTTTCTATTTTTTTACCATGAAGATCCATTACTTCGATAAGCGTCTATTAACGTTGCGCCGATTGCGATTTTATCATTATTTATATGTTACTTAATACCTTATTATATTCATGATTTATTAGTTTTTATATTAATTTCTGTTGGTTATTATTATTGCGCTGAAGAAGGCTCAAAGCGAGAGCCAGAAACGTTCGTACCTTATGTATATTCTTATCTTTAATTTTTGTATGTTTAATCATATTACATTTCTCAGCTATTTATACCGTACTTAATTTGTTTTATTAAATTATGATTATTCTATTTTAAACTTGATTATCTAATTATTTACATGCTCTCTATCGCCTATGACCTTTCTATTTATTGTTAAAATTTAAGAGAGCTTTCCTCAATATTTGTTTTAATTTCTTTTCTTTTAATCAATCTCTGACTGTTGGGGTACCCATTCGATTCATCTCAAAATTTTTAAATATTCGCACAATTTATGTAACATTCATGTATAATTTCGCGTAAGTATAATAAAATATCAAAAAGTAAAAAGTAATAAGCTCTCTGTAAATTCAATAAAAGAGGACAATAAGGCGTAGAGAGCTAATGACAAGAGTCGGTAAAATAGGTTAATTATCAACATATATTAAATCATAAATTACAAGTTTAAAATAAAAAACCAATAATAAAACATATATGTATTAAAGATGTGTGCGGACGTTTCGACTCGCTTTTGAGTCATCTTCAGCGCAAAATATGTGATGACGGTAGAAAATTTTAATATATAAAGTTCGCAGAGAGAGAAAGCGGTAAAGTTATACGCGGCAAGGACGTAATTATAAAGGAGATAGATCCAAACCACAGCGGTTGTACATAGTTAGTAGTAAAAACCTTACTGATATTAGAGCAGATACAATACAAATCGCAACAATTGTTCATCGTTAATTCTGGATGATCTTAAATGATGAATTTTCAAAATGATGAAACCATTCTCATTTGGGTTAGTTAGTCCAAAGTTGAATATGGTTCCACTGAAATCTGTAAGACCGTGTAAAGATAAAAGTAAATAAACTATAGGAGATTATTTAGCAATGTAAGTGTTGTTAAAGCGTCAATAAAGCATGGAATTAAAAATAATATCAGGTTTTGACAAATAAAAATAGATAATATGAAAATGAATAAATAATGAAAAAAGAGAGTCAATATTATAAAACAATGATTGTCGTAAGTATAAAAGACTAAATATATGTAGTTCATTGATATTTAAATAATTAAAAAATTAAAAACAAGAACCCGAAAATGCTAAAGAAAAAATACAAAAGTACAATGAAAATTTATATAATTAAACTTATGCTGAATTTAAAAGTTTAAATAGACATAAAAATTATTAAGAAAAAATATTAGGAAAAACTTACATTGCCATGAAAAACAAGTTGGAGGTGTATGTTATAATCGTCTGACGAACAGTTATGTTAACAAATTAAAAAAAAAATTTTTTAAAGATTCAAATACCAAAACTTCTGTATCACTTTCTATCAAGAAGGCAAGAGTATAAATGGTGAAAATAACGTACAATTAGTCTTATGAATTTCTGTGTATGACCCTCAAACATCAGGAAGTTTATTTATTATGTCGTTGTAAATATCAGGGAAACATTCCATATCCGTTTGTAAATTTAAACCTTTATGTTGTCGTTTGATGCATAGTATTTCCGAAATTAGCCTTTTGTAAAAAGGCTTTATCTAATATTTTGACGTCATCCCATTTGAATTCGTGATCAAAATGTAACCTATGTTCAGTAATGACGGATTTATTAGTTGTACATCTACTGATATGTTTCCTATGTTCGTTAACTCTTGTAATTAACTTCCTGCTTGTCTGTCCGACATAGGAAGCGTCGCAATTCGCGCATTCAATTTTATAGACGACATTCTTGTTAGAAAGTTTCGGGATGACGTCTTTATGAGCCCTGATGATTGTATTTAGTTTATTAAGACTATAGTATGAAACCATAGTATTCGTATTTTTTAGGATAATAAAATATTAATAAAATATTAATAAAATATTAATAAAAATTATAAAAATATTTTGAATACGTTAATTTGTGCATGTGTTTTATTATACATATATATATAAAATGGTATATATTTAGAAACTAATATTCTAAAATGGCGATGTCCTGCAAATAGTTTCTTAAAAGAAACTAAAAACTTATATTAATATCCCCAGTACCTAGAAATAATTAATTAATAATTAATAAAATATATTCCTAATCATTTTTATCAAAAAGTTAACAAAAACTATTACAATATGAAATTACTTGAAAAAAAAAAATTTATACCCAGAGCTATATTCATATTTAATCTACTATTAAATCTTTCTGGCATTAAATAATAATAATATGAATCCTAATAATGATAGAACATTTTTAACGAGAAGACAAAATAGATGCATTTCTTTCTCATCTAATAATATATTATTTATATTAATTCGACTTTAAAGAAGCGTATGACGTTCGTCGTTGAATAATTACCGAAATCATTGCTGTCGGAAATTGTCAGGAAAATCTGGAATTAGTTCCATTCTTACAATAAAAATTCTCAATTTTCAACGGGACATCGAACTAGACATCGCAAATGGATTTTACAGAAACCAATAAGAAATAATTTTCCATAATGAAAATCATTTCGACTTCTTGGCGGTACGAGCCATGCAACTTTTATTAACATTTTATTTACCTAGCGAAAAGAACAACGATAACTATTTTATTAAAACGATAATCTCATCTAAGAGCGCGAAAAGAACGAGAGAAAAAGACGATTTTCGCAAACATAATTTATGAATTTATTTATGAATATTTTCCAATACGAAATTAGTAAATACATGAATATAATCGAAGGAACAAATTATTAAATTCATATCCTTAACAACCCTACTTCCGGATTAACTAAAATTATTCGAGAATTGAAGAACCTATCTCTAATCATCACCTCACCTAATCATATATATATTTTAGTCACGTGCCCTAACCGCGTGCCCTAACCGCGCGCCCTAACCGTACTCTTCAGGCCAGTTGAATCTACCTTTTGTTGACCCTGGCCACTTTCTTTCTCGATCTAATCAGAGATCGAAGAAGGAGATAATTAATCCTTCTTTTGCCGGATAATTACCGGCAAAAGAAATATTACACTCATTTAGTAACGATCGTTCGATTTGACGATCGTTCGTTAAATATTAAATATAACTTTATTTTAACTGAAATAAAGCCAAATTACTACAAATTTCTATAAATTATATTTTATAATAAAATATAAAATTAATATGTGTATTTATCACATTACAAATTATTTAATTAATTAATCATTTGGCTTTATATTAAGTTAAAGTAAAGTTTAATACTTTCGCTACGGCGGTTTATTGCGCCGTAGCGCCGCCACTAAACAGGTTCCCGCGGTAGAAATTTTGCACATTGCGCGTGGACAGTCTTTAATGTTTGAGCTTACGTCTTATACCGTGATAACACATGATTACAACTTAATAAAACGAAAAATGTTATAATATTCTATTATATGACTATTGTTTTATGATACTCAAAACTTTATTCAAAACTTTATTCAAAAAATGGTAGACGAACAAATATCATATGTTTTAGAAGAAAATTCCGGTATGATTCGAATTATATAGTTTATTCATTTCATAAAATAATTTTCGCGGAGGTCAGAAGAAGCGTTACTATCCACAAACTAGTTCGCAAATGTCGCCGGCTATAGCCAGCAATCGTTTCTGCGAGTCACATCGTGGATGCCGGCTATAGTCACCCTTGTTAAGCTGGCACCCCCACTTCAGAAAATTAAAATAAAACTTATGTCAAAAT